GATTGCCATCAACTGCCCTCCCCTGCCAGCCTGATCACCCACTACTGCCCTCCCCTGCTGGCCATCTTGTGACCACATGGGGGCAGCCATCTTGTGTGAGGGTGTGACAGTCAATTTGTGCAGGTGCAGTGAGTCTGGGCACATTCTTTACTGGGTCAGGAGGGAGAGAGGACTCCGCCCTCGGAACCAGGTCAGAGGCCTGGTGGAGGGAGGGCTCTGGGAGCCTGAGGACAGGGAGCCCTTGTTTGCTTGCCAGGAGACACTGCCCTGGCTGTGGTTCTGAACCTGTGCCGTGCTCTCGGCTGGTTCCTCCGTGTCCCCGTGGGAACCAGCAGTGAACACCCACACAGAGTTTTTGCGGAGGATAGTTTGTAACGTTTGAAGGAGTTTGGGATCCCCCGTGAGAAACCTGTGTGGCCCCTATTCCCTGCCCCACTGCCTGTCGGCTTGAGCAGGTCAGCTCAGCTCCGCCCGGCGCTCCTCCTGAGCTGAAGGACCACGTCTCGTGGTCCGGAGACTCGCTGAGAGGGTGTGGGGAGCCTGCCAGCTCCCTGGCGGCCCACATGGATGCCCAGGACAACGCCATGCAGGGGGCAGTGCCAGGACAGGTGGCGCGCGGTCAGACCTCCGAGCGGGAGGTCCCCTGGGTGCTGCTTGGTGGCTGCTTTTGTACACGGGTATTGGGCCAGTGGCGGCATTTGCATTTGTTGCAGAGGATTGTCACGTTCCTCATCAGTGGACTTTCAGACAGGGCAGGGAAGGAACGCAGGTTGGGTATGCATTACGGCGGGAGGCTGGTACTAGTTAACTGGTGACATATTTCATTGGCATGAAGCACATTGAAAAATGCATTTCAAATGATTATACTTAAACATGGAGTATACATTATATATGCAGTCTTATTCCAACTGAAATTCTTTGTGGCTGCATGCCTACCTAATCAGAGACCTTTTTTTAGGAAGGTAGACTGGAGAGTTATTTTTCTTACTTACGAATCACTTACCCCAGTTTTGAATTTAAAAATTCACTTTATTGGGTAATAGTGCAGTCGCATTGTCTGGGATGGTTTCGATGTTCCAGGCCTGTTCCAGACGGAGGTCTTGTCTGCCTCACCACGCCTAGGAGGTGGTCCTGGCAGTGCGTGCGTTTCCAGGCGGGAGCCGGGTGGAGGGTGGGCCCTTGCTCAAGCTCCTCATGAGAGATGGACAAAGTTTCAAGGGGGAGCCGCTGGCAGACAAGGCTCCAGGCCCACCCGTGGGCTGGCACAAGCACTGACCACATGGAGGCCAGGCCCTGCGATCTGACCTTCCTGTGTGGCAGCCTCTGAAGGCCTGGCTTCCCTTCTGGAAATGAAAAGTGACTCCACAGGCGAAAGCACCAAACCGCTGCGGGCCAGTGGGTGGTGCTCGCCCTTGCTCTGCACTCTGAGTTGTTCCACGATCGGTTTTGAATAAGCAGTTTGTGTTAAAAGTGGTGGTCTCCCCACAGCCAGGCACAGCAGCTCCCCACCAGCCCCCAACAGACACTTCCCCTGACCCTAGTGCAGGCAGTGCTGCCCAGGACGCCCCAGCAGGCCTGACTGGTGCCGACCTCCTGCACTAGGCAGCTCCCAGCTGCCCCTGCCAGCCAGGGTACGAGGGGCAGGCGCCCAGATGGCCACACCACAGCCCTGGCCTCATGCTCCTTCCTCCTCACTCTGCCCACCCCGAGTCAGGTGCCTGTGGGAAAGGAAATAGGAAAGTTCCGTAGAGTGTTGGGAGCTGTGCCCTGTGACTGGTGCAGGGCAGGGAGGAAGCCCTTTTCTCCACCCTCGGGTTTGCCCCTGGGGCCTGCACACCACGCGGACGGGAGCCAGGTGAGCACAGGGCGGTCCTGCGTGTTTCACTGCTGTGAACGTTTTCATGTGCCCTGGGCCTCACAGGAAAGAGGTGGAAACCCAAAGGCCTGACATGCAGAGGGGTCAAAGCCTCATTTTCTGAACATTCACCTCCTCTCATCTGAAAATCGCCGTCCCGGACACTGTCCTGAGTGCACCGCTCTTAACGCACACGGCGCTTCCGCAGCACGTGCAAGTCTCCTTCCACGCACTGCACACCCTCCTCCGCCGGGGAGGCGCTGGGAAGGACGGTGCCTCGTGAGCCGTGTCCGCACACGTCCAGTCGGCACATGTTGCTGTATTTTGCTCACAAGAAATCATGTGTTTCTTTCACCATTAACCTGTCCCACTGCTGACTACTTTAAACACGTGCCATCTCTGCCCTCTGAGACTTCAGGAGAAATCTGATTCTTGTTCATCGTGATTGGAAATAGTCATGACATCGTGTGTTTGTCAGTTGTTGGCATGGTCCCATTTGGTATGTTACATAAGTACATGCTTTAACATATCAAAGTAATGCTTCTTTTTGTTTTATCTTGTAGATATTGCTATATGGAGATTTGCCAAAAAACAAAGAAAATATAATATATTTAGCAAATCATCAATGCACAGGTTTGTACTTCATTTGCATGAATCTTAGGTTTTTCTACAGAAAATATATGGACATTCAGAGTAGTGTTCTTATATACTTAAATGAAAATTTTTTGTTATTGTTAAAACATGACTTTTTAATGCAGATGTATATGTGACCTTGTATTTGTGGTTTTACTATGAATTTCCCTCATCTTGCCTCTCCGTCTGATGAGTGTACATAAGCTGTTTTCTCTTTCCCCCACTTCTTTGAACAGTACCCTAATGTCTGTGCGTCTTTCTTCTGGAGGTGATGTGTCTGGAAGGGGGCTGGTGGGTGGTGGGGTGTGTGCGTTTTATGTTTTGATGGTTGAGCTGCAGAAAGGGGTTCAGTATGTGAGGCCACATGTCCCCAGCACGACGTTCGTGTCTAACGGGCGTGGTTCCTTCTGACTCTCCAGTGTAGGTTTAACCACAGCTGGTTACTCCGACAGAGGCCTCTGCAGACTGGTCTTTAGTGAAGCATAGCCTAGACCAGGGGCCTCAGACTTTTTAAACAGGGCCGTTCACTGTCCCTCAGACCGCTGGGGGCCGGACTATAGTTTAAAAACAAACTATGAACAAATTCCTGTGCACACTGCATACATCTTATTTTGAACTAAAAAAACAAAACGGGAACAAATACAATATTTGTATTTGCATGTGGCCCGCGGGCCGTAGTTTGAGGACCCCTGGTGTAGACTTTCAATTAGACACTTTAAACTTTTATTCTGCAGTAGTTATGGAGTTACACGAATGATAAAAAATAGTGGCAAGAATTGCATGACCTCCTCCCCCAGTGATGACATCTTATCAGCTGGGTACAGCACCCAAAGCAACACATGTACCTTGACTACAGTCCTCAGTTCTCCAAATAGCTCCGCTCAGAAGCACCCGCTTCCAGTTTCCTTCAGACCTGTGCCTGCCTTCGAGGCGCACTTCCTATATTTCATCTTTACTCTGCAAAACCTAGTGCTCGGGAGTTAAAGCAAAAAGCAAGCTGACCGTTGATAAGGCCTGAACCTCAAGGCCTGTGTGCCAGCTGCCCGCACCTTCCCCCTGCCCACTGCGCCTCTTCACGACTTAGTGCTTTTATTCCTCCCTCTGCCATAGATACGGCAAAGAGCGGGAAAGAAGTTGAACTGTATTGTCCTCAATTTAGCTTATTAATGGTTACACTCAGTTTTATAGGACAAGCGTTGACACTACCAAGGGTTGACAGGAGATTTTGTATTTTTTTAAAATATATATTTTTATTGATTTCAGAGAGGAAGGGAGAGGGAGAGATAGAAACATCAATGATGAGGGTCATGGATCGGCTGCCTCCTGCACGCCCCACAGTAGGGATGAGCATGTGCCCTGACTAGGAATCGAACCGTGACCTCCAGGTTCATAGGTTGACGCTCATCCACGGAGCCACGCCCGCCTGGCAACAGGAGTTTTAATGTCTCTGTGTATTCAGTGAGCGCCGTCAGCGTGACTGGCTCAGATTATTTGATGTCATTACATTTGACTTAAGCACCCCTCCCTGCGTCAGGGTCTGCTGCTCACTCTGGCCTAGAAAGGAACCTTGCTTTTTGTCCTGTGTTTGACTCTTTCTCCAGACAGAACTGGGCGCTTCCCTCCCGGGCCTGTTGCGGTGCCTGTGTCTACCAGAGCTCCGTGAACTGAATAGGACGGGTTGTGGGGCCAGGGCAGCCGTGACAGCCCAGAGTTCCTCCGGTGGAGCTAGTGGCCCGTGTCACTTATGGAGCTGCTTCTCTGTGCAACAGGGTTTTCTCTCAAAGTGCCTCGTTCAAGTTGCCTGCCCCTTCCCTTGTTCCATGTGGGGAGGGGACACTGTGTAAGGGATCCTGGCCGTGGTGCCGGCGTGGAGTGGTCGCTGAGCACCGGACAGTGGTGGTGGTGATGACGATGGTCACATGATAGCCTCTGCCGTGTCTGTGTGCTGACTACGTGCCCTGCAGATACTTCACTTTAGAGCGGGGGCTTCTGGGAGGCATTTGGAAGAAAGCAGATTTTTAAACTACTTCTTTGTTTGAAACTGGAAGGTGTGGTGGGCAGTCTGAGTGCAGTCACCTCGCAGCACATCCGCCCCACCCCTCACCTTCCTCCAGGCTGCCTTTTGGGGCCAGGCCTGCACCACTCGCCATCAGAGTTGAGAAGGATCTTTTTTAAATGCCTTTTTAAAAAACCGTAACCTAGGGACAAAACTAAGTAGTGATTTTAAATTACAAGCCTTAGTCAGAATACAAGGTGGGGCAAAATAGGCTTGCAGTTGTGAGTACACCAGACCCGGTTGGTTGTTGTATTATTACTTACTAGAGGCCCAATGCACGAAATTTGTGCAAGTGAATTCATTCAAGTCGGGCCTTCCTTCCCCCGGCTGCTGGCACCAGCTTCCTTCTGGCACCTGGGACCTGTCCCTCACAGCTCTGGCTTTGTCCGGAAGGACATACGGTCTAGTTAGCATATTACGCTTTTATTATTATAGATTGTGTTCTTTTCCATGTTAACAACTGTAAACCTACTTTTGCCTCACCCTGTGTGATAGAAGATTTAAAAACCTTTTCCCAGAAAAAAAAAAAGGGCACATAAACATTTGTATATGGTCTTAGGTTCCCGAGGACCCTCCTGCTTTTCTGTGGACTGGGCCATTGGCCGGTGGGTCTAAAAAGGTGTCTTTTTAAAACCCTCTTGAGATATTCAGAGTCACAGCTGAGTATCTAAAACTGAAGTAGCAGAAAGGTAAGTCCCGGACTGCTGTTTGGCCTAGACTCTCTGCTCACCTGCAGGGCCAGTGGGTCCACCGGTCTTCCTGGCAGGCCTTTCAGAGGGTTAAGTGTCCGCGAGCTCACTCCTCCCTTGTGTCTCTGCCACCTTATTCCTCTCCGGGTCAGCAGGGCAGAGTGGCTGCAAGCCTTCCTCTCTGCCTTCTTTCACTGTCTGTGACTGACGGACCTTGTTGATCTCATGATATGCTCCCCTTTCTTGGTTTAGGTGACATTTTTCTTGACAGCATGTATGGTGAGTAGATGGTCATAAGAAGGCGTGGGCTTTGGAGTCAGAGAGACCCTGGCCCCTGTGCCATTCTGCAGTCGGGTGTGTGACGGTGGGCAGCTCCCTGCCTCTCTGACCTGTATTGGTCAGGTCCAGGCAATATCGATGTGGCTGGCTCCTAATCTCACAGTGTGCCTGCTCGTGGGGGTACTTCCCAGCAGGAGCGATGATGATGATGGTGGTGGTGGTGGTGATGATGCTAAAGATGATGATGGTGATTGTGATGATGGTGATGCTGTTGCTGCTGATGGTGATAGCGATGATGATGGTGGTGGTGGTGATGATGATGGTGGTGATGGTGGTGATGGTGATGATGGTGGTGATGATGGTGGTGGTGATGATGGTGATGATGATGGTGGGGATGATGATGGTGATGATGGTGATGATGATGGTGGTGGTGATGATGGTGATGATGATGGTGGGGATGATGATGGTGATGATGGTGATGATGATGGTGGTGGTGATGATGGTGATGATGATGGTGGGGATGATGATGGTGATGATGGTGATGATGATGGTGGTGGTGATGATGGTGATGATGATGGTGGGGATGATGATGGTGATGATGGTGATGATGATGGTGGTGGTGATGATGGTGATGATGATGGTGGGGATGATGATGGTGATGATGGTGATGATGATGGTGGTGGTGATGATGGTGATGATGATGGTGATGGTGATGATGGTGGTGATGGTGGTGGTGGTGGTGGTGGTGATTGACCATGAGCGCAGTGCTGGGTCCAAGCCAGGCAAGTACACCCTGGGTAGCCACGTTGGACTCTGCAGCATCCGTGTGAATTAGGAACTGTCGTTACTTCAGAATGTACATGAGGAAACCTTGCTTTTTAAACAGACATATATATGTTTTTGTTGATTTTTAGAAAGGAAGGGAGAGAGAAACACTGGTGCCCAGACCAGGAATCAGCCCAGCCTCCTTTTGGTGTGCAGGACAACACCGACCGTCTGAGCCACAGTGGCTGTGCCAGGAACCCTTGCTTTTCCTGCGGCCTCTCCTCGCTGGCCTCAGGTTCAGGGAAACAGTGGTGCAGCTGAGACTGGGTCACATGGAAGAATTCTCGTGTGGCCACATTTCTGATGTTTTGATTACATGATGTCAGAGCTCAAGTGCACATGACTGACTGTAAAGGGAGTGTGTTACCTTCTCAGCTGTCATAACTCAGCTTTGTCTAGTGCAGCCGTGTGCAAACTACGGCCCGTGGGCCGGAGCCAGCCTGTTTGAAATGAATAAAACTAAAAAAAAAAAAGACCGTACCCTTTTATGTAATGATGTTTACTTTGAATTTATATTAGTTC